GAACCACTAATTTTGGGTAGTTAAAAACGTGGGTAGTATGGTCTAAAAATAGTAAGTGTTACACAGAAAACGCCTATAAAGTTTTTTGTAAAAGGAACCTTAGGGAAAAAGAAAAAAAACTTAGAGGACTTTGAGAGGTTTTTGATGGTATCTCTGTCAGTTTTAGGTCTATAAACTTGAAATTTAGCTTGTTATGACGGAAATGATGAGCTTTTTAAGTTTTTCTAAGTTTAAAGAGTATGTTTAGATAGCCATTTTAAAAATATTAAGAAAAAGGCCAGTTGACCGTTTCTTGATAGTTTTAAAAGTTTTTAGTTTAATATTCAAGTATTATATGTATTTTTTTGTTAAGAATAGGTTTAATTAGTAGTGAAACTAAGGTTAACTTAGTAAGAAAAAAGTTATAAGGTATTTTAAAATAATTAAGCTAGGAGAAATTTGTGTATGAGTGATAGACAGAAAGAGTTTTTTTTTTTTTTATTAGTCATTTTAACTCCATCTATTAATAATAATATTAATATAATAATAATATTAATATGATAATAGTATTATTAATTGTTAATTTATTTAATTTTAAAAAATTATTAACAAAAATTATTAATTAATAAATATATACGTTCTAATATTTTAAGCTCATCGACTAATGGTTGAAGAAATATATCCATTTTTTTGAACTATTTGGTCCAGGAATTATTCTAGCAATAAGTAAATTTTCTTTTTTTACATGTTCATCAGGAGGTAAGTTTATATTAATATATAAAAAAACTCAACAATCATTTTGTTTTTGTCAAAATATTTGGTAACCATCAGTAGATCCAATAAGACATATATCATAAGGATTAGAAAAAAAACCTTTTTGACAAAGATCTTTATATAAAATACCATCAAAAATATCATTGTAAGATCCTCCATTAGATTGATATTTAGATCTATATAAAATTTTTTCAACATAATTTTGATTTTTAAATTGAATTTTGAACGATCTTTAAGAGAAAAATATGTAGCTTTCTTGCGAGCCTTCTCTTGGTTAATATAATATGGTTTATCGCATATAGGACAATTAGAAAGCTGCTTATATTGTCTAGTAAATGTGCAACATGAATTTACACACATATTAATAAATGTTGCTGTTAAAGGAACCATATTTGCTTAAAATTGTTTTGCTGAATATAATGTTATATTTTCACAATTAAAAGTTTCTAATATTTCTTGATATATTTGATTTGTTAAAGTTTCTTTTTGTACTTTAAGTTCAAGCAATTTAAGAACTTTCTTCATCGAATCATTTAATCCTTCTATTTCTGCTTCTGCTTCTGTATAATTTAATAGTAAGTATAAATAGTAACAATAACTAATTAAATATTAGTATTTAAATATTAGCATTAAATATTACCAGAATCATCTGAAAAATATTCTATAAAATCATTATTATTTTCAAGTATTTCTTCTAATTCTGAATTTGATTTGACATCAGATGATAATTCAGGTTCATTATTAGTTTTAAGTATTTCTTCTAATTCTGAATTTGATTCAATATTAGATAATAACATTTCAGGTTCATTATTAGTTTTAAGTATTTCTTCTAATTCTGAATTTGATTCAATATCAAATGATAATATTTCAGGTTCATTATTAGTTTCAAGTATTTTTTCTAATTTTGAATTTGATTCAATATCAGATGATAATATTTTAGGTTCATATTCATTATTAGATAATAATAATTCAAGTTCATTAGATTCAAATTTATTATCAAAATCTAATTGCATATCTTCAGATTCATTAGTTATACTAAAATTATTTTTGAAATTTAAAAAAATTAAATTAATTCAAAATTAAATAATTAATTAAATAATTAATAAATCAATTACATACTCATTATTCTCATCATTATTTAATAATAGTGGATTAGTATATTCATCGATTCTTGTATTAATTTGTTGAAAATATCTTTGTCGCCGTAAATATAAATTATATGTTGCTTTTGCTAACCAACAACTATCTTTGTTTTTTCCTAAACAATAATTACATTTGCACAAATATTTGTTGTTTTTATTATTAGTTGAAGACATTTTAATAGCTAATTAACTAAAAAAAACAAAAATAAATGTTTATACTTGTATTTATTTTTTAAAAAATTACATATGATTAGTATTATTGCATTAAAAAATTACGTATGATCAGTATATTATCAGTATTACTACAATAAAATATATCATATTGCATACAAAATTATAATAACAATTAAATTTACAGTAAGTCATTACAATTGCTTTATACAAATATATGTTACAAGTATTAATACAAAATATTTGCATATTTATTTACTAAAATATTTATTTCAAAAAGCATATTTATTGATTAAAAAGTATATTAGAAAATATTCAAGATATTTTACTAATTACCTTTTAATATTATTAATAAATTCCACCCATTAGGCTTTACTAAAATTTTCTAACCAGGTAATTGTAATATCATCTATTAAATTACATAGTACCCAATTATTATTAAGTGCATTTAATAATTCAACTAAACATGCTCCAGATGTTGTATATGTTTAAGCTTTCTAGCTGATATGTTACCAGAAAATCCAGGCATTTGAATGGTTACTTCATCAGACTCAATTATTTTTTTTCTTTTATTTGTATTATTAATAATTTGTGAAGAACTAGTATTATTTTGATCAATATTTAATAATTGATTAATTGTAATCTTTCCTAAAAGAAGAGAATTGACTTGTGATATTGCTTTTGTGCCTTTTTGCCTTGTTGCTAATTATTTTATTGCATTTTTTAGAAAGATATAAGCTTGATCAAATTTATACAGTATTCTCAAAGAAATTCTTCGAGAAATCTCTAGTGTATATGATATAATGTCATTACTACACATTGATTCATAACATGTACTCATAAGTATATTAAAAGTGTTTATTTTTTCTTCTATTGTTTGTATTATTTGTTCATTAGGAAGAATATCAGAAGATAAGTTTGGTGATTTTCTTAATAATATTACTTGTTCTTGAATATTGCTACTTTTAATTTCTAATAATGATTTTTGTCTATTATATCTTTCTAAATATGCATGTAGATTAAGAGCACTTTTAATTGATGAATAGCAAAATTCTGTTTGAATTGAGGTAGAATTTTGCATTATTATAGTTTTTAAAATCTCAGCAATTTCATTATAGTAAGTAGTTTTTGGTATACCTGAATTTGGATCAAAAAAAAGGAGCAACTACTAGAAGGCCTGCTTTTAATGGTCGAAACTTATGATATAACTCTGCAACTCTTAGCCTATTTTCTTTAAGAGCTTTATTTTTAAATACTTCATACTTTATTAAAAAGCCTAGTAGACTTATTGGACCAACCATAGCATCTTTAAGATCTACATATACAAATTCAGGCCATTGAATATTATTGGTTATTTCTTTAATATACATATGACTAACTGGTTCCAAAGTTGTAGTTCCTTCTTTATTTTTAAATACTGCTCTATGTTTTTCTGAATAAATTTCAATTTTTTCAATACTTGAATCACAATCAATTGCACTTAATATTAAACAATTGCTAATGATGTTAGTGTAAATTTCTTGAGTTTTAGGATGCTTTGAATGTTGACTTTTAATTATTTTAGATGTCGATTTTGTTATACCTAAAATATAAAAAAAATTTAGCAAATAAAACAAACAAACAAGTAATTAATTACTAATATAGTAATAGACATACGCTGCTTTTTGACTTCATTATATCTATCATCTTCTTTATTTTTATCATATCTGTCACCTTTATTACTATCGCTATTTAGTTCTTTATACGTATTACTACTCTCTTTATTATATTTTATAATTAAAAAATCTTATTAGTAATTTATTTATAAACATATACTTAACCATTTTTACTTAATTATAATACCTTCACTCGTAGAAAACATGTGTAGTTCTTCATATTGAACTTTAAAAATTTTATCATCTTCGTGAGGATCTGAGCTTACTTCAAGTAACTTGTCAATCTCACCAGATAGTTTGCTTGCGAAGTCGAGATCTTCGCTAGATCCCAACTTTCAGAAGCAAAACTGGCGTATGCTATTATTGGTATATGAAATTTCGATTTCATTTGCTAAAAACCGAATGCATTTAATATGGTTGTTCACATTGAATAATCTTGCCAAATATAATGGGCGCATTAAGTTGTTGTTAATGAATTCTAAAAATAAAATAAAATAAATAAAAATTAATTAATAAAATTAGTATAAATTAATATTAATAAAAAATTAAATAGAAGTAAATACAGAACGCGAGACTCAAGGTTTGTGACAAAAAAAAGTAGAAATAAATAATTAAATAATTAATTAATTAATTAGAAATAAATAAATAAACAATTAATTAATTAATTAATTAATTAATTAGAAATAAATATATAATTAATAATTAATAAAAAATTAAATAAAAATAAATTAAACAGAGCTTAAGACTCAATATAAATATATATAAAAAATAGAAATAATTAAATAAATAATAAAGAATTAAAAAGAAATAAATTAATTAATTAAATAAAAATAAACAATTAAATAATTAATTAATTAATTGAAATTAAAAATAAATTAATAAAAAAGTAATAGAAATAAATTAAAGAGAGCTCGAGGCTCAAGTAATCCATATATATATATAAAAATTAAATAGAAATAAAAATAAGTAATAAAAATTAAATAGAAATAAATTAATTAAATAAAAATAATTAAATAAATAATTCATTAATTAATTAAAATAAAAATAAATTAATAAAAAAGTAATAGAAATAAATTAAAGAGAGCTCGAGGCTCGAGTAATACGTATATATAAAAAAAAAATAGAAATAAAAATAATTAAATAAATAATAAAAATTAAATAGAAATAAATTAATTAAATAAAAATAATTAAATAAATAAATAATTAATTAATTAAAACTAAAAATAAATTAATAAAAAAGTAATAAAAATAAATTAAAAAGAACTCTTTCCGACGATCACTTGGTCCAAAATTTTTATGGAAGAAAAATACAAATTTTGTTGGAGAGTCGTGGCCTAATGTAGTGGTTTGTCTAGAGGTCAATGGTGCTGCAGAACTCCTCTATAGGTAACATTCGGCATGCAAGCCAAGAGCATTATTATACAAGATAACTTGCAGGAGGTGCCCTTGTATAAAAAATCTTGGTGGAGAAGAGGACTCTTTGAACACCCCTCTTTCTTTGTCAACGAAGCTCTTAGGTCATACTTCTTTGAAGACACTGGGGAACAACAAAATTTTCTGTTACTTTTTTCAAGCTGCACTCCTTTTACTTGGTCAAGTGGTACCTTTTTACTCTCTCTCATCCTTCCATTGATCTTCCAAAAAATTTCAACAAAAAGTGGGAATTTGGCTTACTCTCTCCAAAAGATCGGCATTGTTTACTTCCCAAATTCAGAAGGCCTAGCGGAATTCAACCACGTGTTTGTTTATGGACAAATATAGTACTTTTTTATGGGACTTAGCCTGGGAACTCTAATTATAGCAGCAGGTGGCTTGAAACACGGGTCCTTGAATGACAGCAGCACCTGGCTCGAGATACGAATTAGGACGGGCAACGAAACGAAACTATCTGGAGTTGGTGGGAAGGTCAGAAAGTAATTTTAACGTTAAGACATAGCTTTACAGTAGAGATATACAAATGTTGCATTTGTTATATAATTTTTATCAGCCACGCACGAGCTATAATAGTGCCTTCAGAGTTTTAGATTTCTTTTTATGATTTTTCTTTTTCGCAATCAGTATTTCTTTTTCTTTTCTGTTTTTTCTTTTTTTCTAGTTGTTTTCGTTACTGTTTGTTTAAAAATTTCTCCTTTTGTCTCATGCCTCTTGAGAAGAAGGATGAATTAGAAGGAAAAAAGAGATCCTGATGCAGTATACAACATCCGGTCAAATGAACGAAGGGTATTCTTTGTCGATACGAAATCTGAAGTGAGTTTTGGATCCCTTTATGAAACTAATGGTTGTTTTAGCAGGTCACATTGGGCAGTACTTAGTATACTTGATGAGTTTCTATTAGAATAGGGCATTACACTATGTTAGTGGTTACTTTATATAATAATCATATAGTAAGTTCATAAAATAAATAGAAGCAGAATCGCTTAAATTCAAAAAAAAAAAAAAAGAGAACTTGAGGCTCGAGTAATACATATATAAAAAAACAATAGAAATAAAAATAATTAAATAAATAATAAAAAATTAAATAGAAATAAATAAATTATTAATTTAAAAAAAATAATAATAAATGTCAAATTTCAAAATTCATTATAATTTACAAACTGCGAGACTTGCGATTTCTTATAGTTAAATAATAAAATTAACCAATTACCTATTTTAAACGTATTGCTTAATAAATCTATCTAAAAAGTCATAAAAGAAAGCGAGAGTTATTTATATAACTTTCAAGTTCTAATTAAGCTTTAAACTTGAAAATTATATAAATTGACTTTATTATAACAATAATTATAATAAAGTTAAATCATTAATAAGCTATCTAACATATTTAACAATATAGAACAAAGTTAAATTGTTATAATAACTGTCATCTAACATGTAAGTATAATAACATAATTTGACAATTTTTTTATTACGCAAAGTTAAATTATTAATAAGCTATCTAACATATTTAACAATATAGAACAAAGTTAAATTGTTACGATAACTGTTATCTAACATGTAAGTATAATGACATAATTTGACAATTTTTTTATTACGTTTAAAGGCTGTGCCTTTATATAATAATTTATGTATATACATATTTATTAACTTAAATATAAATAATACATAATTTAAGCCAAAATCTGCTTTACCGATCCCTAACCCTAGACCAATTCAATCCTATTTTACTTATTCCTACCCCTTAAACCCAAACCTGTTTTATCTATTTCTAACCCTAAGCCTAACACTAATTCAAAATACGATTCAATAGTTTCTTAAATTCTGATTCCACATTTAGCTCTAAACTCTTATCTTCTAATAATTTTTTTACATATATTCAGCTGATTTTAAATCCTATTGTAGACTGTGGCCTAGTATGTGTAGAGAGTGTATATAATTAAAAGAAAAACTAGTAGCAGATAAGCAGATTAAATATTTAAATAAACCAGTTTGATTAATATAGATCACGTTTGGCACCCACATGGTTAAATCTCTATCTTTGAATAACCCAGTTTGATTAATATAGATCCCGGTTGGACCCACATGGTTAAATCTCTATCGTAGAAGATCTTACATATGATAATTTGTAGGTACAGCTGTTTTCATAATTATGGGACATTTGGCAAAAAATTGACTAATGAATATTTGCCGATTTGATAAGTTTTGAATCGCTAGCGATCATTATCGAAATCATAAACTTATCGAATCAGCAAATATTCGGGCAGTCAATTTTTTGCCAGATGTTCCAGAATTATGAAAACAGCTATAAGTTATTTTATCTAAGATCCAAAGAAGCTGGCGTGGTGTTCTTGCAAACTGATCTGCTAATACTTTTCACTATTTGATCAAAGTCAGCGATGTGGTAAGTAACATTTCTCCCAAGTTAATTCCATTTTTTGTATAAAATATTATCTTATTTTTAAAATTTAGATGATATCCAATTATATCACTAAGAGTGTATCCAGGAGGATTTGAAAAATCATATAGCCTACAACTTCTTGAATAAAATGAATATCCGTCGACACCATGATAACCATGCCCCCATGATTCATTTTCCTGTTCTAAAACATATGATATAGACATTAATTTATAATAATAAAAATTTAAAATAAAAATTTACTATTACCAGACATGAGCATATTATTTATATAATATGAATCATCAAGTTCTTTATCGCTTTGTTTTGTACAATATATGATTCCAATCATTCTATTAAAAAAATAGAAATAAAAGATTATAAAAAGTTACTAGAACAAAGAGTGATGTTTCTGGTCATATAAGAAGCTCCCTTTATAGTTTCTCTACTTTAACATTATTAATTGGATAAAGAATTTCAATATCACTTCTAGAGGAAGATTTTCACACAACAAGATAAGGAATTCTGATAAACACTGCTTTTAAAAAATTCAGATAGTCTAGATAATGATTCCGGAGAACCATAAAGAAACAAAGGTTTGAGTAGACTTAGTAATTCAGGTTGAAAAACACCAGAATAAGATCTTTCTTTACATATTGATATTGAATATTTACAGTCTGATGAGCTCCTGCTTTTTCAGTTAATGTAGTTGTTTACAATCATTAAGTATGGTCTTGTTTTTTTGTAGCTATTAGTTTCATTAGCTACATTAGGACTTATACTTTCTACTTCAGGAACATAGTTGTTTGAAGGTTTAACATAATTTTCTGTTGTATTTTTGGATATATCTATGCCCTGAGAAGTTTTCTTTTTGATAGCATTCATACCTACACCCTGAAAAGAATGGGTCATTTGCTTAAATGTTTATTGCTTTATAATTATCAGGATCTTTAATAAAGAGATTGTTAATAAATTAAATAGCAATGATATTCTTTTAAATACCGATAATTATAGCAATACAAATATGTTTCTGCAAGATTTCTCAGATATTACCTATATAAATTACTTTAAGTCCACTTGAATCTATGTCAGTAAATGGCGATTTATCTGCAATATCGCATGAGGTCGGTAAAACAATATTTTTTGAGCGAAGGTATTAATTCTAAATTTCACATATGTTAAAAATCTTTTGATGAAAAATCAAATTAAATTGATTATTACTTAAATGCGTAATTATGTGTAGTATGAATTTTTATTTGGTAATTATGTGGTGTGACAGACACCATCACGGAATCTGCAGATTTCAAATGTCTAGAAGTATAGTGTCCTTAGCTACGCTTCGGACAATAACAGCATCCCTCCTTTGAAAGGATGAGCTTCTATGAATCGTCTACAGTTAGACCTCTCTAAGCGCACATCCTTGGGACCACACTTTAATAATGTGTATATAGAGAATAATAAGAACAAGTGCATTTATAGAGGTTAAGTATATATTTGAGCTAGCACTTGAGCATGCATTTAGATAGAGTATGTACTTAGAGAGGTCTGACTGTAGTTGGGAATAGGTTTGTAATTAGAATTAGTTAGAATTAGAGTTAAAACTAAAAATGGAAATAAGTTTTTGTTAAAAGTGAATTATGTGTTTAAATAATATGAAAATATAAATATTATTAATATATATATTAAATATATATAATATATTATATATATTACTATATAATATATATAGTATATATGTTATGCAATTCAATGTGAGTATATGTACCTTATATCAGTCAGGGAATATATCATAAATGTACAGTGCTGATCACACCATTTATGGTAATAGAATACTGATCTAATGGTTCCAGAAATTTCTTTATGTCAATCCAAGAATGATCACTAACCAATC